GGGATGTACGATAATATAAAAAAAAAGATATCAGAACATTAATTTTGGACTGCAACTATAAAGCATTGCCTAACACATGCGTTTAATTCAACAGCGTTTGTTTCCTTGGATTAAAAAAAGAAAGTTTGTTGTAGTAAATGCTCACACTACCCCCCCCCCCACCCTGACCGAAAAACGGTCTGCGGATTTTCAAATTCCCAGGGTAAAAAACAAAGAAATAATGCTCACTACCCCCTCCCCCCCCCCCCCCCCCCCACTCAGCGAAATATTAGTCGGCGCGATTTTCACATTTTGGGGGCAAATACGAAAACAAAATAAATGCTCACTACCCCCCCCCCCCCCCCCCTTCCCCCGCCCCCACTGAACGAAATATTGGTCGGCGCGATTTTCAAATTTTAGTCCCCCCCCCCCCCCTATCGGCGAATCCTGGATCCGCCACTGATCATCATGGCTATATATGCTACCATTAATTTTAAACGGGATCTATACACATTGACAAAGGCATATACGGTTATTATAGAAGAAAAACAGAACATTGATTTTGGACTACAACGTTTTATAATTCTTTATAAAGCATTGTGCCTTGCACGTGCGTTTAATTTCACAGTGCGTGACTCCTCGTCTATAATATGGCTCCGTCCCACTTAGTTTTAAAAGAGATCTATACAAAATTGACAAAGGCATAAAGGTCGTTATAGAAACAAATGTCAGAACATAAATTTCGGACTACAACTATAAATCATATAAAACTGTGAATGTCAATCAGCCATCTCGGAGGAGTGTTTCGACAAAGACTAAGATCTACTAAGACTGAACTATGGCAGGCTGTTCATGCCACTGTTTGCTTTCACCATTTACTGCCATTGGTCTCTCAAGGGACGTACAAATAATTGGTCACCAATCTACATAATTTACATGTTGTGATAATTCATTATTGAAGGAAACTATAATATCTAAAGATCATATTTTAGAGACCAATGGTGAGAGCAACGAGTGGCATGAACGGCCTACCATAGTTAAGTCCAACTTAAAGTCAATCTTAGTCTCTGTGAACCACCCCCTGTGCACAACTCGACCGACTGATTGACCGACTGATTGACCAAAGAGATATCCTCCTTGGATTGACCGACTGATTGACCATTAGCTATCTCAAATGTCCATGTTGACCTCCGTGCAGTACGTACGGTCACGGTTCTTACTCATTTCGCACCTGTGCCTGGAGCGTGTACGTGTGCAACGAAAAGGCGCTAACATCTTTTGGAATGGATACGATTCCCTGTATGTTTCATAATTGTTTTTCTCCAATAAAAAAAATTACCTATTAGGTCCGTTCACACATACAAATTAGTGCGATTTTCTCCAATAAACAAATTACCTATTAGGCCCGTTCACAAATAAACATTAGTACGATTTGGAGTGCGATGCAAAGATCGATTTTTTTTTTTGCGACCGTTCACACATTTCAATTTAGTGCGAATTGGATCGCGATGCAAATTAAATTGATTTTTTTGGGGGCCACCATTCACACACAGGGAGAATTCTCGACGGCAAGAACGTCTGAACTGCGCAAGCGTTAATCCCGATGATGTATGCGCACTTGGAATCCTGGGATTAAACTAATCGACTTTTGATTCTCAATACCACACACACACAGCGCCCGGAAAACTATCGCGATTATTCTGTTAAATGGCAATTAAGACTCACTGCGAATCAGATCGCGATCTGCAAATCGCGAAGATAAGTGAAATTATTCTGTCCGCACAAGCACACACACACACACACACACAAATAATAATCTCTTTTTTTTTCTGTAGGTGGGAACGCCCCTATATACAATTCTTGCTTGTGAATGTCTGGGAGCACATGTGCAGTAGAACCTTGGCAGCAGGCGCGTACACAGGGGAGGGGGGGGGGGGGGTTAAACCCCCCCTTCGGTATTTTCATGTGTGTAACCCCCCCCCCCCCCCCCAGCTTATTCAGCGGCTGGCTGAGTCGTTGCGAAACTTTGGGCCCGATTTATAAATGTTAACCCCTCCCCCTTGACAAAATCATGCGTACGCGCCTGTAATTGGCAGTGTGTATTTTTAGGGAGTTTCCTGGAAAGGGGCCCTGATATGTCTACAATGTTATTGTATACGAAAAAATGAAAGAAACAGATTATGAAGAAGAAGGTTGAAGAAGAAAAAAGAAGGGGAAGAAGATGATGATGATAATAATAATAATATTCCGCTTTTATAAAGCGCTTAATTCATATATGATGTCTCTAAGCGCTTTACATAAATACTCATACACCGATCATTGGATTCGATTGCCCGCACACACTGTGATAATGATGATACTAAGAATTAGAAGAAAAGGAAGAATAAATCAGGAATACGACAACAAAGAAGGAGAAAAAAAGGAGCAGGAAGAAGAAAAATGACGGCAAACTAAAAGAAGAAGAAGAGAAAGATGATTGGGAACTTATCTGGGTAGCGGAAGAAGATTGAAGAAGAAGAGGAAGAGAATCAAGCAGAAGAAGAATATTGAAGAAGAAGAAGAAGAACCCACTAAAGGTAGTATGGTTAACGTTTTTTACGGAATGGGATGGAGGGAGGGATATAATAATAATAATAATAGTTTTAAAAAACGGTGCTTATAAAGCGCTTACCACCGAAGACTCTATGCGCTTTAACGAACAAAATACAATGATAAACAATTATTAGATATTAAACAAAACAAAAAATAAAAAAAACCTACAAATTACAATACATATGAAATATACATCAATGTGAACCGAGTAAATTAATCATCAAAAGCAATTTTGAATTGAATTGGTCGACAGTCTGACAGGTTTTGACATGTGAATGTAGTTTGTTCAGTATAGAAGCTTTGCAAACCGGGAGGTCGTGGGTTCGAACCGCGTCATACCAAAAGACGTTAAAAGACGGGAGTTGCTGCTACCTTGTTTGGCGTTTAACAATAAGGGGATAGAGCAACGTCGATCTGGCGCTGCTCATTGGCTATCGGGCTCACGATCAATTGAGCAATAAGAATTCCCATTTATTGGTTTAATAAAATTTGGAGTGGACTAAAAGATTATCATTATTATTATTATTATTATTATTATTATTATTATTATTATTATTATTATAAAGAGTTGACACCAAAGTAGACATATTCATTTCATTTCCACAAGTAATCAAGACATCTTTATTTCTCAAACAACATCGTATAAATCAAATAAAGGGTGTATACAAAATACCACCAAAAACAAATTATTTATGATATTTTAATATGTTAATTTAATATGTGTATATATACAAGAAGAATTTGGTCTATCAATTTTCCTACTTGGGGCTACGTCTATTAGTTACTTGGGTGTGTGTGGGTGGGCGTGTGCGTGACATTTAGAGACTTTGCTTTGCATTTGTAGAAAAGTACGGGAAAAGAATTCTTATACGTGAGTGTGATTTTAGGCCGAATATGTAAGATCTATTTGTTGTAACAATGTTTAGAAAGTGGCAATAACCACTAATGGAAAATAAATGTTATAATTTTCTTTTGAATTCACTTATGTTTATAGAATTTAAAAGTGATCCTATAGATGATTTTAAAAAACTCATGGAGAGGAAACAACTTTAACTCTCACGCAAAAGAATAAAAGAATTCTGAAAGATATTGATATATATAACCAAGAAAGATATTCATATTTATAACAGAGAAAGATACTAATATATCTATTTATAGCAGAGATCGATACTAATATATAAAACAAATAAAGCTATGAATACATTTACCAGAAAAGATATTAATATACACAAAATAGAAGGATATCAATAATATTTATAACAGAGACAGATATTAGTATAAACACATGTATGTTACAGATGAAAATGTTGATATACACTGTACATATAGCACAGAAAGATATTATATAACAGTGAAACATATTGATATGTATATATATATATATATAGATATATAAATATATACGTATAAAACAGAAAAATATTGATTTATACATAACGGAGAAAAATGAATATATACGTATTATACCGTACATATAATGGAAACTCGTTATAACGAGGTCCATGAGACCAAGGAAATTACCTTGTTATATCAGGGTAGAAAAGCAAATATAATGGGGACCATCAACATCACGTTGTCATAACATTCTTCAATACAATACGTTTAGCCATCATCTGACACTTTCATTTATTAAAAACAATCCATTTATGCAATACAAGTAAAATCGGTGTATGCGACCGACGATTTGAAGAAAAGCGTGAAAGAGAGAGAGAGAAAAAACCAAATAAAAACACATAAATTTGAAACGATTGAAACGAAGAATTAGTCGAGAAACAGAAGCTGGAGTGATAGAAATATACAGAGAGAAAAAATGGGTATGTAGGAGCATGGACCCATTACGGAGGTAGCTGTAGAGAGAGAGAGAGAAAAAAAAGTAAAAAGGATGGGGTAGATTTTTATTTTTGGGGTAGTCCATCATCACAAATTATAGGCTTAATCTGGTAAACGCGTCCGGTTGAGTTATCGCCTTACACGCCCTTTCGTGTTTTCATAAAGTTTCCGGTAAATTGGACCAGGGGGGTGTTTCACAAAGATTTTAAGTCGAACTTAACTCTAAGTTGGACTTAAATATTATGGAGAGCCATTTGTAGCCTTATAATGAAATATATTAAAAAGCAAAAATTCAAGTATTTTAGAGTTTTCATAAATTCCACATCAAGAACATGAAATCTCCCGAGAAAATAGAAAATATGAATGATTTGAATCAACATTTTATGCCTTTTAAATAGCTTTACAAAATATTGTCAATGATGCTAACGGCTTTTCATAATTGTTAAGTCCAACTAAAGGTTAAGTTTGACTTAAAATCTTTGTGAAACACCCCCAGGACCATGTAGACGAGGTGGCTTTTAATTGACAAATATTACGTCCAATATATTATGAATATAGGGGCACGTATTCACTAAAGGTCGGATAACGCGACCCGCGACGCGACGACCCAGTGATTCGAAGTAAACCCAAATTATATGACAGCAAGATCCGATTGATATTCAGTTGAGCCAAGAGTTTCGCTAAGTGCAAGATTTAAACACTCATCCACCTGCTCCGGTATATATGGGCGGAATCCCGATCCTATGTCTTTAAAGGGAGTGGATCGTCAGGTTCCATGTGGGCTCGCTGAAACCAGATTTGGTGTACAAGTCTGCACACAGCAAACCCGTAGGTCTATCAAGAATTACCCCTCGTCTCTCGAAGAGTCCTCGGGTGAGGGAAAAGCAAGACAATGAATTTACTATGCATGGTAAATTCAGAGCAATATAAAAGGCATGTTAGTCTTAAAATTGAAGGCTAATAACCTACTGGTGATCGGCATCACCTGTTATTTGGGTAAACGGCACACGAACGATGTCAAATTCCCCATGAGAGCCCAATCCTATGCGTCTTTAACAGCAATGTGCAGAACACCTGCGCCTTAAAATGTGCTTCAGGGTACGCCGGAAGTTGTGGTTCATGACCGAAAAGATGACGAAATTGAGCCAGCTTCCGCTTATCACCAGCATCCTGCAGAAGAGCGTTGCTCCCGAGGACACCGCCTGGGGACCTTTATAAAGAGCCACGAGCCGTACGATTCGGTTGGGAATGGTGGTAACTGTGAAGGCTGCGGTGACCGCAAAGAAGGTTAAGATCAGTTTGTACTGTCCCGTGTGGTCATTCTGACGTAAGGCATGAGCATTTGGTCGTTCCTGGATCTCGATCCTGGGTCTAGGGCCTGGATCAGACGGGAGTGACACATCAGAGCACGGGTACACCCCTTGATCATGTATGCTGATGGAGTAGTCCCGTATCGGTTGTACACGGGCGATCTCGCGAACCATCCGCCGAACAACGACGAGGAGATGGGTATAGATGACAAGCATAGTGGTCAACGGTATAAAATACAGCAAAGTCGTCGAGACCACGACACGGGTGATCGACACTTGGACGTCGCATAATCGTCGGTTAGGGTCGTAGAAGTACGTCCCAGTGGCGTTTTCGAGCACGTTGGCGAACGTCGTCAGGGCCCACATGACGATCACCAGCACGATGCAGAACCTCTTCGTAGCGAAACGCCGATGCGCGAACGGGTGAACAATAGCCACGTAGCGATCGACGATGATGAGGATTAAGGAGACGATCGATACCCGGACACCCGTAACCGAGAGTATGAGGTGTACCCGGCAAATGAGGCGCGCCCATGAACCGAGTGAAAACCGCATGATGGTGGATAAACCGATAATGATATCTCCCAGTGACATCGAGACGATAGCTACACTGTTGCTGATAGGGAAGTTTAATTGGTCACTGCAGGCGACCATGATGTTAAGTGTGTTTAACACGATGGACAGGATACTGCAAATCAGTGAAGTGGCAACCGTCATAATGACGGTAAATTGCTGAACTTGAATAGCTCCCTGGTTGGCCATGGCCGTCGTCATGATAGTGACCGCTTCTTCAGTTGCCAGCTCGGTGGTGTTGTATAAATCCATATCTATGTTGAAAAAGGGGGGGGGGACAAGAATGGAGAAGAACATCAATTTTACGATGGATTAACACACCAACCATATGCATATAAGGGTCTGATAAAGAATTGCTTGTGAAAAGGAGGTGGGGTGTGAACAATTTACTTTTAGATTTGCGTGGACTGATACGTGTGACGTCCATTCAAGGCAGTGCATTAAAAGGACGTCGATCGTAGCAATCCACGTTGTCGTTTGGCAAATCTAAAAGTCCCTATTAAAGAAAAGTGGACAGCAGATCTATTTGCCCAGGGTACCCATACCGGTACTGATAGCCTACTGCGCATGCTCTTCCGGCGGCTCTGCAATATTAGTGTTACCCCTCCAATTGCAAGGTACGGCCTATTCACAACTTGGTGGAGAGTGGCGAATGTGGATTAGTGTCTTACTAAAGGACAATTGGTGATTGGAAGAAGGGGCAAGGCCAGGGGTAGTTTAGCCTCCTGACAGATTTCCCACCAAGAAAAAAAAAAGAAAAATGTAAATTCATTTAAAAACTTAATAGCAGATTAGGGATTTATTTTAAGTAAACAATAACAAACAAACGAAAAAACAACCTCCCAACCTCCCATCAAAAGAAGAAAAAAAAAGACCGCATCAAATTATGTTCACCACGATCATATTCTGAAAATAAGTAATTTTTGGATGTAGCTCCTCCCCTCCCCTCCCCCCCCCCCCCCCCCCCCCCCATCAGTAACGCAAACCAACGCCCTCAAACTTGACTTAAATGTCTTGTAGTTTGACAGGTGGATCGAAGTGAAAGCAATATGCCTTTTTTTTTAAGGCAAACATATCATCATTGCTATAGGAGTCTTTTTGTTCAGTAAAGGCGAACAATGAAGAAAGCGAAGAGACAATGTAAATGTGCCTACTGCAGTATCAATTCTTTCAGTACAAAACAAAGGTTGTGTTTCTGTTACTTCCCTGATCGAATATAATAAGATGTGTTATGTCTGTAGAGGAAGAGTTTTCATGAAAGACGAATAAATATCGTTTGTGAGAAAATTGGCACAAATTCTCTGAAATAGAAATAACTTGACTGGAAGGGTGAATGAAAATAATAGCCATCAACAGTGGAGTTTTAGATTTGAAATGCAACATAAAATCGATGTTCTCGTTTTGTTTAAAGGTATAGACCAGTTCCGGTCATGCGATTGCATTGTGAAAGAAACGTTGATCATCTAGAATATAAGTATTGGTGTGTACTGCAGGGTTCTGGAATCAGCAAAATGATAAGAAATTTGGCCCAGTCTTGGTAATGTTACAAGCACGTAGGGTCTACTGTACACAGAAATATGTATGTGAGACTACACAATATCTATCCAGTCCGGATAGATATAATAATTTACCAAATATATCAATTAGTAGGCGGTTTCCCCGCAAAATTTGTATCATCACATATTATTGAAAACATATTCTTTTCACATGATTGGTAATAAGAGCTTCCATTTCATTTTTTGAGAGGGGGGCGTATCCAAAACTAGTCTATACCTTTAACTGTCGTTATTGGAAAAAAGAGAAAAAAGAGGAAAATGCCAAATGAAAACTACAAGTCTACATGTATGATATAAAATGGCGAATTATCAATTACATGTACATTTGTTTAATTGTTATTCAGCATGAATAAGTAATTTTGTGGAAGACATCGTATTAATCCCATAATTTTTCGAAATCCACCTTCTGAGATGTTAAGAGAAACTCTATTAATGCACATATTTGTATTGTATCGACACTTGTGAGGTAAACCCATGGAATAAATTATTTTCAATTTTGAATTCAATTATTTTATAACATTTACAAAGACTAATAAGATGCAATATTTTCTTGTGACTGGATTTTGTTTTCTTTGCGGCTCATGCAGTGACGCAAACCAGTGGAAAGGTAATAAAAAAATAACATGGATTCCTCTGTTATAATTTATTGACATTTAGAATGGAAGGTTTAGATGTGGTAAGGACAAAAAATTATAATTTGTGAGCTGTTGCATTATTTTTATGTCGATGTGGAAGTATATTGAATTGAATTGAATTGAAATTTATTTCCATCATCGTTACTATATATACAAAGATAAAATATGGAATTTCATAACATGTAACAATATCAAAATTACATATAAATTGGCGTAACAGCATTCAAAATATAAATGGAAAATGGTGCATCCGTTAAAGCCAGTAAGACTTGACAATTGAATGCACCAGGCGCAGAAGTAATAATAACATATACTTGAAGAAAAAACTAGAAAAAAAAAGAAGAAAAAGGAAAAATAAAAAGGAGGAGTATTAGTAATATAGGTGTGGTCTTAAAATAAATAATGCGTTATAAAGAGAGAGAAGATATATCACAAAGGGATTACCGTCTGAAAAGGGAGTGCTCTTCGAAAACCTTCATACTTGAGACATTAGTGCACAGACACATATGCAGTCCTCGGCTGTGTTTTTATTATGCCTATGAAAGCTCATACTTCCCAGCCGACTGCATTTCCTTTTTCTTTATCTTTATTTCTCTTTCCATTTGGTTAGTAATTCACACAAAATATACAAGATCTGATATTTAGTGGATTTCTCAATTTCCTTTCAATTTCGACTGAATGTATGATAACATTATGCTTATATATCTTGTATCCTCAGATGCTTTGACTACTTATCGACATTTGATATTGTATAATTTCATTTTCTATGTTATATTGCAAATGTCATTTAATATCAATTTTGTGTACGCGTTTTTCATGTTTTGATTCAATTATGAAAATATTTTTTTTTTTTTTTTTACATGAATTGAAATTGATAACAAGACCGAAATGTTAGTCCCTACACACAGTTTCCTTCCCAATGCAATATACCGTTTAACTAACACGTTAAAATGTATAGATGTTTCTTTCCTGGGAACCTAGTGATGAGTATTCCCATTTACATGCTATTGATGAATGAAGTACAATACTTGGGATCCAGTCTGCGTACATTACGTGTTGATATGTCGGACAAGCTAATTAAGGTTGTCAAGAACAATCGTTGTATAAAAACTACGCATAAAACTTGAACATGTTAATACACCGGTCTATTTCATGACCACGTTATCTTTACATGCTTCAATTGCCATGTCTGTTTTAGTCACAAAGACATACATCAGAGCGACAACAGATTTTTGTTTTAAATCCCCGATTGGCCCAATCGGTCCGTTTCCAAGAATTGGATAAAAAATAAATAATGAAATAACATGGTCGCAAGGACTATCGAAAAATAGAAATCAACAAAAGGCAATTTTAATCGCCTTCTCCATCCGCTTAAGTATTGCATACTCTTAACACAATCCCTATAGAATATACGAAAGCGTTATTTCCAGTAAGTCTTTTTAGTTGTGTCAGATATGAATTTCTAGATATTTGGTAAATTTTCTATAAATGTTCTTTTTGAAATATATTAATGTACGTAGAAAATGGGGATAATACATTTTATAATGTGTTTGGACCGAATCACATCTAATCTCTTTAATATTTCATCTTCAGTTTATTGTTTCATATTTCACATACATATATATCTACATTTTTGAAATTATTTCCCAAATTAAATTGCACAAGTTAACATTGACAAAAGCATGGAGGTGAGTGCCTCTCATAGATTTGTTCGAATGCACGAGATTAAAAGACTGAACCTTAAAGAGAGAAATATGGAAGCTTTTCTTGTGAGTGATAGGCCCCGTAGGGTAGTTAATACGAAATAGTAATTAATGTCAATCACAGTAATATAATTCGTATTCCCAAAAAGGCAACGTTGAAGTCACTTTCATTATAATAATGTAACAAATTTATATAATTTGAATAAATTTGATGTGTCATAAGTCATAATAATAATAATAATAATACTACTAATAATGTAACAAATTTATATAATTTAAATAAACTTGATGAGTCATGAGTCATTTTTTATGAGTCATGTGAGGAATGAGTTCATTTGGAGCCCATGTTCTTGCTCAACAAAGTAAAACAATAATTAGAACAAATACTTTAGCGTGAGCTATATAACAATTTCGGAGTTATTAAGATCTAAATACGAAGTGATCTCTGATGTTACTCCTAAAACTTGTAAATTTGATTTGATAATTAATAAAAGCGATTGAGCCTCATTAAATTTCCAAGAACATTCAGAATGAATTGAATACGATACAATCTCCTGAAGAATGTCCTATTTCATTATTGTCTACATATTTTTAAAGTTTTTCAACATTATATTCACCACTTTCATTGTGCTTCTGTGATTACATCGTCTAGAAAGCCTTTACGAGGTCTTCCCCTCTTCTCCTTTCCATGAATACGACCTTCTATGACTCTGAGCATCAAGCCCTCATCATGCCGCATTATAATAATGATAATAATCTTGTTTACCATGGGTAGCTTCATCAGTATTAATACTGTTCTCCATGATGACGGATCTGCAGTCATACAATGTTTATCGCTACGTGCTACCATGACATAATTTCCTTTAAACCCCGTCTGAGCTAGTTTGGCCAGGGGGGTTAGGCCTCCCTGCAACGTCACCGACAGATGGTTATCTCATCAAATCAGCTCTCATTTAACATAAGAAAAAGGGAATCATGGGGGACCAACAGGCACCGATTAGGCATTGTTTGCTTTATAGAGGGCGCAAGTAGCTATAAGTAGTGCAGTGAGGATTTAAAAGTTTGTTTCGATTAAAGAATGGTACTCACAACAGTTTCGTTTTTAAAAGGGCATATTCCAAGGAGATCCGTTATCACCGATAATTTTCTCCTTTGCTTCAATTCAATAATTGAAGTTCTGTCGGATAATAGCCGATTTGGATACGAGCTAGATGACCATAAGATCATCACTGCACCATTTACAGATGCGTTTTGTTTTGTTTAATAACACTACAGGTAATAACAGAACCCATCAGCGACTCATGAATACAATCTCTAGTCGAACTTCCTCGCTTCATGGTCGCTTGG